GGGAGCCTCATGGGAATAGTCTCCGGAAAAGGAATGTTTACTATATTTCCAGGCTCTGAAAATTCCAGACTTCTGAACTCATAGAGAAAAGCTCCATCTGCTCAAATATAGCTCAGTAAAATTAGTGTATCCTTCATTTAAGATAAAATCTTTATGACAAAAATATTGCTAAAATATTAGACTTAAAAATAGAGTATTAACTTTTTTTTAGTGAGCATACTTATTTTGGCAACGTACAAGAAAAGGGTGGAAGATTTTGCGCTCAAGTTAGGAAAAAAGTATCTTTTTCATTGATAAAAAGAAGGAGGATTTGGAAACATTCTGGAACTGGAAATGATGGTCAACATCAGCTTTGGGTTTGGGGCAGCTGGATCAGGAGTAGCCAGGCAAAAATGCTATTGCTGTGAAAGTATGCTGGGTGATTTTTAAACAAAATTTATAGAATAATCATGGTCCTGATGGAATATCTGTTTTGCCAGATGTCTTTTACCAGAGCTCCCAGGATGTGTCTTCAGCCACCAAGGGACCCATGGGTTCCTGGATGAAGGGGTGCTTGACAATCACACACAGTGTTATGCTCTGGCTCTCCTTAGCTTGCTGTATGGAAACTATAGGAAGATGTCCATGAAAAGCTGTGCATGTCTTTTACAAGTCAAGGCATTGAGAAGATTTGGCGCTGACAGTGTGCCACAAGCTGGAGGCCTGGTTCTGTTTGATCATACTTTTTTGGCATATGAGAAGCTGAATGGTGACTTAAGCAGAAAAAAAAGGACACAGTTCGTTCCTGCCTTGACTTATGAGGCTTTACTGCAATCAAACCAGCAAACACCTGGTGTTATCCTTTATGCTTATCCAAGGCTCGCACCCTTCTGGGTCCCAGAACTTTTCCCATCCCTGCTTCCCTCAGAGCAAGGCATCAGGCATCATACAGGTGTATGCTCCTTATACTCTAACTAACCACAGCCCTGAGAACACAGCCCTGTCTACTCCTTCCACCCTGTTCCCCCCTCAAGAATCCTAACCCACCCCCCCTCCACCCCAAATTTGCTGCATGTTTTTAAGCAGTGGCCAAGAGCTCAAAATTCTGAATATAACAACATTCAGGGTGGTACAAACAGAGGGGAAGGATGAAGCATGAGCAACCAGGAAATTTAATTCTATTCTATTTATTATGAAGCATGAGCAGCCAGAAAATTTAATTCTATTCTATTTATTTATTTATGTAATCAGTTTTTCTGTTTTTTCTGCTTTTCCTCTGGAAGTCTATATCAAATATCTGCAATATCCATTGCAAGTTATAGCTATGCTGAGGGGAAAAAGGATTCAATTTTATTTTACTAATTTTCATACATATAAAATACTTCCATATATAAAAAATACTGCCTTACAGCAACTCTACTGTCTCACAATGTACCACTGTTCATTATAGCTGGTTAAACATGGGCTGAAAAGGAGCATTTTTATTTCCTCCTCCAGAAATAAAAAAAGATATGTTTAAGGGGAATAAATTTATTTTTATATTATCACCTATTCCTGCCCTGGGATCTGAAGCTCAGCTTCTATACAAGACCAAGTTATCCTTGCTGCCAGCAGTATTGAAAATTGAGCCTCTCCCTCTCCTGCTGAATGCTGGTTTGGGTCACATTTAGGCTCTGCCAGAATGTTCTGTCTCCCAAATGAAAAGGCCATATGCTGAGAGAAGAACTAAGTCTTGTGTTCCCATATTGAAGCCCTGCAAAATGAGAGGGGGCATTACCTAACAATGAGAATCCTCTCCAGGCTCTCCAGGCTCAACTTCCTCCTCCAAGTGGAGCCAGCCTGCAATGCCCATGGAGTGAAAGGCTCCCAGATGTGTCACAGACACTGCAGACAGCAGAGCTGTGTGAGTGGCACTGCCCAGGGCCTGAGACTGAGCTGAGCACCCCTGTCAGAGCTGGGCTTTGCTCCAGCCTCAGCCAGCTCTGTGACCAACAACCCTGGGAAAACTCCAGGCACTTGGAGAAACAGTGAATTCTGTCAGATGTTCACCCTACGATGAAGATCAGCTAAGATGTAGCTTCAGAATGAGGAGGAATTTAGTGAAGGATAACATCACCATGAGTGGTACTCTGTTTGCATTTTTATGATTCTAACAGAAAAAAAGACAAGCAGTCCAAGACACCTCAAAGTGAAATTTGCTATTAGATAATTCTTCTCATATTTTCCCCCTTGGAAAATGAAAAATGGGCATGGGGAAGTGTGACCATGTTCACAGGGGTCTGATGTTGAAGGAAGAGACGAGGATTTGACTCCATGTTTCAGAAGGCTTGATTCATTATTTTATGATATATATTGCATTAAAACTATATTAAAAGAACAGAAGAAAGGATTTCATCAGAAGGCAAGCTAAGAATAGAAAAAGAAGGAATGAATAACAAAGGCTTGTGGCTCGGACTCTCTGTCCCAGCCAGCTCCCTGTGATTGGCCATTAATTAGAAACAACCACATACGACCAATCACAAAACCATCTGCATTCCACAGCAGCAGACAATCATTGTTTACATTTTGTTCCTGAGGCCTCAGCTTCTCAGGAAGAAAAATCCTAAGGAAAGGATTTTTCATAAAAGATGTCTATGACAGGGAAGACAATGAAATGAAACATTGACTAAGAGGAAAGGCATATTTTGAAATGCCTTCCCATTTCCTGAGAAATATAAAGATTTTGAAGAACCCTCTCCACATTGATACAGATTAGAAAGTGTTTTGTTTATTTATTTAAGAACGTGAACCAGATTAGATTGTTCAGAAAAAGTTAAAATTTTGGTATTCAAATACAGATAAAAATGGACTAATAAGACTGTTCTTATAACTTACTACCAATCAGCATCTTAGAAACACATTTGATGTATAGGTACAGAGCAGATTTTTCAGAAGCACAGCAAAGCTACCGAAGTTTCAGTGATATTTCTGGGGTAAAAAGAGGTCCTGACCCGTGATGAGACAAATGTAGCTGCATAACAGCATGACCAAAGCACTTGGGGGGTCAGTACCACAAACAATGTTCAAATCTGTGCCACTAATGTGACTGTTGGACAGGGAATTTTATTTTCCTGCCATTTGTCAGTTTTCAGGGAAGGATCACAACCATGAGAGCACAATGGTGCTGCATGAGTCTTTTCTGAGAATAGAACTGTTTACTTTTCAAGCTGTATGTAGTCTTTAAGCAAATCTTTTTGTGAAGATGGTGACTAAAGAATACAAGAGAGGTGGTGTGTGTAGCAGCAGCTTAAACAAAGAGAGATTTTGCTGCTTGGGACATACAGACTGAATTCTCCCTCCATGGCAAGTGACTGATCACCAGGCAGCTGGTGGGAGAAGCTAATTACTTTTTGTTTTAGGCAGAAAGATAAACACTGGTTCTTGAAGCACATTTTTTCTATGCAGTGTGGAAATGGGTACTCCACAAGTTTTGGGCTTGCTCTTTCAAACCCTAGCTTCTGTGTCTGATGGAAGTCAGATCATTCAGCCCCCAGGAAAACAGAACAACACTGTCATTCCCCAAAGGAGTCCTTCCATTTCCATTACAGCTAAACTGGGTGTTGAACTTATCACTGTCTGTCTCAGGGAATATTAATGTCTTATAAGGAGAAATGATTAAATTATCAACCCAGTTATATGTTATTATAAAGCATCAGGTGTGCATAATTGCTAAAATCTGTGAGTAAAATTTTTATTTGGAGTTTTTGTGGGAGGATTTAGTGAAAGAAACTTTCCATATGCCTATGGCAGAACTTTAAACTGCAGCAGTGGGAAAGGAGCTGGTGCAAAGTCTCACAGGAGCAACCTGCATGTGCCATACAAATCCTTATGTACCTCCTGACAGCCATCAGGACCTCATGCAGCTGGAAATGCAAATCCTTAACCACATCTCCCAATCTCTCTGTGTTCAGTGGAGGGGAAATATCTAACAAAAATTGCGTTACACTGATTTAGAATCTGCTGCAGGGAAGTGCAGTGAAGATGACTAAGGTGAGAAATATTAACTGATTGCAAATACTTTCTCAGTCCTCAACATTTTTGCAGTTTTCTTTAGAGGACTAAAAGAGGAGATGAGACTAGAGGAAGAATCCTCCTCATACAGTGTTTGGACATGTGAATTCTAGTGAAACTTTCATTCACCCTCTCTCTCTTCCTTCAGGCAATATTCACTTATCTTTTGGGTATTTTTTTTAAATTTATTTTTATTTCACTTCTCCTTTTTAAGAGAAATATTAATAAATCTTACCAAAAGGTGGAAGTATGTGAGAGATAGTTTAAAAGTAGCCTAACCACTGCAAGTTATTTGTGATTTCTAAGGGAAGAACTCAGGTTATTCCCATGTTTCAGAAGGATCTTTTCAAACCCTTAAAATGTTACTGGTTCTGAAGATAGCCTCTGATTCTGTTTTCTAGGACCACAAAATAAATATCTGTAAGTGCAACAGCCCATAAACACATGACAAATAATAATCACCACTTCTGATATAAACAAAAGTTGCATTTTTTACAAACTACAATGACCGAGTGTACTGTTAAGCTATTTTCTGCAGCAAGTGGCTCCAAACCCATGTCTGTGCCTTTTATTCACTAGAGAGGGGTTGCTCTTTTTTCTTTAAAGTTCAGACTGATATCTCTCTTACATGTTCTCATGGATTTTGGCTGCCTTATCTTATTCTCCTTTAAAGTGAAATGAGCTCAATACCTTTGTTTATTTGTTATCCTTTGGAGCTGTTGCTAAGTTTGCAAGACTTTGGTAAGCAGGTCCTGTAGGTAGAGAAGAGGCTGTGGTATTATTAAGCAAGACACTTGGTAACACACTTTTATTGAGCTTTTCAAATCACTGATAATTTAGACAGTCATGTGGCTTGAGTTCACAAAGCAATGCCTTTCAAAAGGGAAAAGGGACCTGTGGCAGCTCTGTGAGCTCCAGACACAGGTCAGAAAGAGCACTAGAGAAAAGGAATTTAAAAAAACCAACAACAAACTAACAAAAAGCCAGGGCAGTGCTAAGGAAATGAGTGCAGGATGTGAGAAAGATCCACTTGGCCCCAGTTCATGTCTTGCGTAGCACAACAACCTGAAGCCTGGTGAGCCATCACGAGGAGACTGGAGAGAAAGCACTCTCTGGGCTGGAATCACCCAGGAAGAGCAGGTGACTGTGACAGGACACAGGACAGAATAGGAGAGAGGGCTGGGCTGGCTTTATGAGGTGGCTCTGCGATTGATGAGTCTGCGAAAGCTCCTCCGGAAGCTTTCATCCAGAAAGGCGTACAGGAAAGGGTTGAAGCAGCTGTTGGCATAGCTTAGGCTGGTGATGAAATAGGAAATCCCAATGACCAGGGGAGTTTGTGGGATGTCCATGATGAGGGCCACCACTGTGCTAAGGTGAAAGGGTGTCCAGCAGAGCAGGCACACACCCAGGATAGCAACCACCATCAGCGTCACCTTCTTTTTGGCTTTGTCCAGAGCTTTTGCATTGCAGTGGAGATGCACGTGTCTCAGTCTGCACAGCATGGTGGTGTAGAGGGTGCAGATGGTGGACACTGGGATGACAAAGCCTAAAATAAGGGTGTAGATCCGACTGCCTTTCCACCACACGCTCTCGGGGTGGGGGAACACGAAGACGCAGTGGGAGCGCCCCTGCTCCTCGTGTATCTTGGCAAAGACGGCGAAGGGCAGGATGATGACGGTGACAAAGGACCAGACACAGAGGCTGACAATCTTGGCTGCTCGGTAGGTGCGGTAGGACACCTTCCTGGACTTGGTGGTGGCCACCACAACGAGGTAGCGGTCAATGCTCATGACAGTGAGGAAGTAGATGCTGGAGAAGATGTTGTACTGGTCTATGGAGATGATGAGCTTGCACATGAGCTCTCCAAAGGGCCACTGCAGGAGCAGGTAGTCAGCAATGTTTATGGGCAGCACCAAGGTAAAGAGCTCATCAGCAATGGCCAGGTTGAGGATGAAGATGTTGGTTACTGTTTTCATCTTTGGTGCTTTGAGGATGACATAGATGACAGCTGTGTTGCCTGTCAGTCCCACGGTACAGATGACGGAGTAGATGACAGGCACTGTGATGTAGTACCTGGGGCTTACTGGAGTAGTGGACATATTCAGACTCCCATATCCTCTTCCAGTGCAGTCTGCACATGAGGAATTGGTTTCAGGGAGGGAGAAGTTCTCCATGGCTACAGGAGAGGATGGCTAGGCTCACTGGTGGTAAGGATGACCTGAAAGTGGGGAAAAATAAGTGAGACCTCTGCTCTTCGCAAGGCTGTCTCCTCTGGCACACCCAACTGCCAAAATCTCACATATGCTTCCCACTGGCACCCTGACGGCAGCAAGGGAAGATCACCAAGGGCTTAGCCAGCAGCCAAGTGTCCCAGCAGCTGCCCCTTCCCTCCTCCTGCATTATAGGAGTGCCGTGCGTGGACAGCGCTCAGCCTGGGGCTCCCCAAAGTGCCCAGCCATCCCAGGGTGACAATAGTCAGCCTGGGGCTCCCCCAAAGCCATCCCAGGGTGACAGCGCTCACCCTCGGGCTCCCCCGAAGTGCCCAGCTATCCCAGGGTGACAATGCTCAGCCTGGGACTCCCCCAAAGCCATCCCAGGGTTACAACGCTCAGCCTGGGGCTCCCCCAAAGTGCCCAGCCATCCCAGGGTTACAGCGCTCAGCCTGGGGCTCCCCCCAAAGCCATCCCATGGGGACAGCGCTCTCCTGGGAGCCCAGAGGCGCTGCCCGGTCCCTTCCCCGCCAGCGCTCGGCGGCGCCTCTGGGCCGGGGCTGCTCGGACCGCCGGTGTCCTGCTCTCGGGAGCAGCCGGTGCCCTCGGTGCCCTCCTCGAAAAGCAAAAGGCACCCCCGTTCCCGACTGAGAGAGCGCTGTGAAGGGGGATCAGGGATGCACTGACCTGTTCCAGCGCGGCCGCGGCGGTGCGGCTCCCGGAGGGGCGGGATGCGCCGTCCGTGCGGGGGGAATGCGCCGGCCCCGCTCCTTTGCTGGATTCTGAGAGTTACAGCCGCGTCCGAGTCGATCTGGGCAGCAAGAAACAGGTGACGCGAACAGCAGAGGATGGTTTAAGAGTCGGAAGCTGGAGCATTGGAAGAGGTTTGTGCTTTACCTGGACTCACATCTCCTCCCGCGGTCCGGCAGCGCAGCAATGGGCACAGAGATCCCAGCTGGATCATCTGGGGTATATGCGCTCCTGCTGGGGCTGAGAGCTCAGCACTCAGCGCCTGCCCGGCCCCCGGACTGTCCCGGGCGGGGCGGGGGCAGCGCGATGCTGTGCATCAGGCTCCGAGCCACAGGATCGAGAGAAGGTGCCTCTGCTTGTTGCGGGGGATTGGACTGGGTGGCCTTTCAGTTCCCTTCCGGCCCTAAGTAATCTATGATTCTGGGAACTTGCCAGGAAAACACATTTTTCATGGGATGTGGGATTCAGAAGCAGGATGGATGCACAGTAGTTCTGGTTCTGGCTGACACTTTGACTCCTTCACTCTGTGCTAGCGAAAAACTGAAATATAACCCTGGGAAGGCAATCTTTTTTTAGAGGGTAATTCAGAGCTCCTGATTATCAGAGTCTTTTTTCCAAAAAGTACATGGCATAAAATCTATCTAATTTTCTTTTCATTTTCGTTGCCTTTTCAATGTGAGAATTCTATGTAATGCATTGTAATACATTTGTAATTACTATTACTATTGTAGTACATTTGACAAAACTTCTGCATCTCCAAAATCGGAAGTGTCAACAACTTTTTTTTTATGCTACAAGCAGGACTGACCACATACATTATCAGTAAATACTAAAAAATTACTAATAGCATAATAAATGAATCTTTTGGCAAACTGACATTATTGTTCAGTATCTGTAAACTAGTACCATGGAGAGAGATTAACACAGCCTGGCTCTGATTCTCCCATATTATGATGTATAATTGCCTAAATCAGCAGGATGTCACAAACCTTAAAATCCAATCAAATGAATTATTAAGTAAATACATGAAAAAGGACCAGCAAAGTACCTCTGCTTCATTATGGCTATGATTTTGTAGCACTCTGTCTTAAATTATTGCTCTGTGATTCTTAACTTTCTTTACAGAAATATCTGAGATAAAAATGTGCTCACACACTTGTGCACTCCCATGAGAATGACAGAAATACAATGCTGCAGGGTCATCATGGAGTTCTGCTTCCCTTTTTTTGTCTATAGTTTCACAATCCAAGTAATGAAAATATCACCTTTGCTATGGAGTTTATTGGAAGCTAGCATTTGAGCCAGGTTTTTTGACCTAGTTTTAAGTTTTAAGCACAGTTGTCTTAAAGTGAATGTAGCTTTGGAAACTCAATGTGCTTATTCCCCATACTGTAGCAGTAGCATGACAGAGGTGCCCCACTTCTGAGGTTCTTGGGGAGTTCTTCCACACTGGTGCTTTGTAGGCACTTAATTGCTTACATGCAAGTTCTGGTGGTGACATCACCTAAACGTGTACAAAAATTTTACCACAATGCTTTTGCCATGGTGTTTGTACCCACTCTCTTCCTTTCAGTTCATCATTGGTTCTAGAGGGAACCATCTTGTTCCCGTCTTGTTTCCCTTCTTGTTCCCAGAAAAAGATCCCCTAACTTCAGCAATAGCTTTATTCTGTGGAGTTAATGTCTTGGGGTCTTTTGACTCTGCAGGGTTAAAATTGCAATTCTAATAGAAAGCTGACTAGGAGGAATCTGCATTTTTCCTCTCTCCTGGTAGCTGAAGAAATGGATTTTGGGCCTGTTAAATCTCTGATGTATTTATGTGAACTGCTGTCATTACTGAGGGAATTGTAGCTGTCTGTACAGTGCATCAATAAACAACTTGCCTCCATTATCAGGTATTCATTGCTGATACTGGTGTAGTGTTTAAAGGCATCAAAAGACATCAGGTTTCATATACAGCAGTTAAAGTAATTATTTTACCCTTTTATAACATCAGTTTCCCAGGAAGGCAGTCAAAGGGCTTTATAAGTTTATAGCTGACTTTGTAAACTTAGAAATTCTGTTTTTGTGAGGATAGTTCCAAGCCACAGAGTGTGCCTCAATATCTCAGCAGGTGCACAGACCACCTTCCTTTCAGCTGAAAGCAAACAGAAATGGGAAGTGTTAGAAATAACTTCTACAAGGTGAGGCTGTCAGGATTGGCAAGTTTAGACTGATAACCACTGCAGATTCTGTGGGAGCCATTAAAATCTGTAGGGCAAATCCAGCTCTTGGCCAGTGAAGTGTGACCCCAATACCTCTGGTGGAGCTGTGCCTGCTGACAAACAGTTGTACTGGGTGGTCATTAGGCATGTTCACAGCCTTTGAGAAGATACTGATTTGTAATCATTCTCTTGCATACAGAATATCGCTGACTGTGTTTCCTTCTGGATACTTTAAGCGGTTCATGCTACCCAGGTTAAAAGAAGTCACATATAATTTTCTTTGAGCAGTTAAGTCATAGTTGGTTCTTTCCTATATTTCAGTATGATTATCTAGTGATCTAGATGAGCAACAAAGGAGAAAATGACTTCATGAATTGCCACTAAGAGATGAGATTTCACCATAATGAGCCTACAAGTCTTGTACCTTCTTTATTGAATTGATCCATGTCTGAATTTCAGAATATATCCTTTCTTCCTGTGGGCTAAATCCATTTGACAGAGATCCATTTGAGTCAAGAACTGGGTCAGTTTTGAAGGACTTCCATCATCTCAAGTGGGGAAAAAGCACACATAATTCTGTTTGCAGGACTGCCTCAGCAATCAGTAAAGAAAACAGCTCAGCAGTGGAGCAAGGCTGCAGCTTCTGCAATGCACTAATTTTCTACCTTTGGCACTGAATTATTTGCCGACACAATGTGCAGATGTGAAGGAGTTCAAAAATATTCAGTTGAGAGTCTCCCTCTGTGATGTTGGATTAGTAGATCTATTTATTAGGTAGAAAGGAATAAAATTGCCAGGTGACCTCAAGATCAGGCTTCTCTATTCCAGTCTTCACAAATTCTGTCAATCTTTGCAGTCTTGCATGAATTCTTTCAGAAAACATCCAGTGATGCCAGAACTACACGCTCTCCAGACTGTTTGTTCAACAAAATCTGTTCTTCAGACCCTGACCTTTTGTCACAATCAAAAACCCTTTGGTTATTTTCCTGTCCCAAACATAACAACATTTTCTATCCCCTGTGGTGATTTTTTCCATGTGTGAACACTTCAATGTCTTTTCTCCAGAGCTGAAAAACACAGTTCTCACTATTTCCTTTTGCCATATCTGTTTGAGATATGGCAAAATTGTTTGAGAGGAGCGTTTTTTTCCACGCAGTCCTTTTTTTTTTTGTGTGTGTGTTTTGGGTTTTTTGTGTTTTTTGTGGTGTCTTCTATCAGGCTTTTTAGTGTTTATTATCTGTCCTCTGTTTGTGATAGTATCAAAACAGGCTTTCACATCAGTGAACAAGGCCTGTGGCAAAGCTTCAGATTGTTTTGATTTAGCCAGGGTTGGCAGGCTTCTGCAAACTCAATATTTGGAGAAATAAAGAGTCCTGTGAGGTAGGACTGGAGCACTGGGAAGTTGTGATAAAAGAACATGTGTACAGCATCTTCTGCTCTGCATTACTCAGCAAGAAAACAACCTGTGTCTATCACATCTTACTGGTTTCAATTCAAAATCACCCAGTAAAATGAGCATGTGTCCCACAGAGCAAACTATCTCTCTGCCCTGTGTTCCCTGGGAGGAGCTGAGTTCTGGCACTGCATCAGTGTGAATAAGTGTCAGACCTCAGCATGCTGGAAGGACAGCTGACCATGCAGGCCTTGGAAATAAATTCTAAGCCTTTTAAAAACATTATTGATACCAGGACCTTTTTTAAAACAACAAACAGGTTGTTATAACCCCAGTTTATATATATATATACACACACACACACACACACACACACATATATATATATATATATATGTATGTGTGTATGTGTGTGTGAGAAGTTAATTAGTATGAGTGAAGTATAATAAGGGTAATTGAAAAGAAGCAAAAGCAGTAGCTGAATAATAATAAATAAAAAAAAACCCCAACAGCAAGGCCTATGTGCATGTTTTTGTTGTCTTTGGGGTTTGGGGTTTTTGGTAATAGAAAATTCACTGAACTTCAATATATTCGTCGCATTTCTTGGCCCATTGTTTT